GGTGAGTATATCCTATGCAAAGAATACGGAATCTCAGCCCAAGTCAATATCTGGCAATGTTTAACTCTTTCTTTTTTTTTTTTTCTTTTTTTTTTTGAAGAAACGCCCCCTGGAGTGTTAGTGGTGCTGGTAAGAGCAGACACCACTAGCATCCGGGGGGGGGCTCCATCTATTGGTGGGGAGCAGCACCTGCTGGAAAGCGGGTCCAGCGTCCCATACACAGAGAGAATGAGTATAGTCCGAACAGAGGCCTACCCGTGAAGTGCATGGGAATTCCCTACGTACTACTCGGCCTGCCTCCTGACTGCCTGCAGCTGCAGGGCGGGGCAGTCCAGGAGGCTGCTCTTGCCAATGCCGAAGGGAGCCAGGGGCTGCCGCTGCAGCTCCTGCTGAGGCTGTCGTGGGAACAGGCCAAAAATAGCCTGTTCCTGAAACCCTGGTTTTGTGCCTGAGTGTTAGGGCAGGACGATCTTATGAGGGCCCGAAAGTGGCCCTCTGTTTCAGGCTGAAAAGCCTCAGGGCTGAAAAGCCCTGTTTTAGGCTGAAAGGACATAGGGCCTGCAGGCCCTCGTTTCAGTCTTTCAGGCTGAAACGACACGGGGCCTGTAAGCCCTTATTTCTAGCTTTTAGGCTGAGAATGCGGGACAGGCCCTGCAGGCCCGTGTGGCTACGCAGTATGCCACACGAAGTCATCCATAGCCAAGGTGAAGAAGACGAAGGTTTTGACGAAGAAGAAGAAGGTCCACCATAGCCGAAAGGTTGACCAGGGGAGTTGACCAGGGGAGTTGACCAGGGGAGTTGAGCAACGTTGACCGAGAGTTGACTGAGAGTTGACCAACATTGACCGGGCGTTGACCAGGCATTGACCAGGCGTTGACCAGGCGTTGACCAGGCGTTGACCAGGTGTTGACCAGGCGTTGACCGAAGTTGACCACGATGTTGACCAGGGGAGTTGACCAACGTTGACCGAGAGTTGACCAACGTTGGCCAGGTGTTGACAAAGGGTTGATCAAGAGCGTTGACCAGGCGTTGACCGACGTTGACCAGGAGCGTTGACCGGCGAGTTGACCAAGACTGTTGACCGGAGCGTCGACCCAGCTGAAGCGAGAACATTACCGGTACCATCTCTCCATGCCCTGCTCTATCCCTTACCCCGTGGATGCGCACCTCACCCTGGTACTTGCTGACGTCAAGTCTGTCAAGTTTAGTCAGTCGTATCTCCCTGTCAGTTTTGTCTAGGTCGGTAGGACTTCGTGATTGTGGTCATAGAACCGTGAGTCTAGCTCGAGTAGTGAGACAAGACCCCTTGATAGAAGTTAAACCTGTTTGGTCTACGTGTTGAGGCACGAAATTGTATTGATTGTGCACCGTCACCATGGTGGATCTCAGGTCTGGAATTAGTACCACCCCCTACAACAAGGAGCAAGAGGAGAGAGTTGCCGCTATCCTGGGAGAGAGGAAGGAGAGAATGGAGAAGAGGGAACTGATTAAGCAGGCCAAGATGCTGGCCCTGCTGGAGGAGCAAGAAGCAAAGAAGCAGATGGAGGAAGAGTTGAAGAAGTGGACGAAAGAGCAAGAGGAGAAGATGGCGGCTATATAAGCGGAGGTGGAGAAAGAAGAAGAAGAAGAAGAAAAGCAGGTGGAAGAAGAAGTACCGTTGGAAAGTAGAAGAGGTGGAGCCAATACGAGTAAGGAGGAGGAGATTGAAAAGACCACACAAGAATGGACGACACATTTGGAGTTGGGAGAAGATAGGGAGGCCAAGTTGGTCGTACCCCAAGCAGAGAGAGAAGCGGCGAGGAGAGAGTTGGAAGCAGAGAGGGATCCGGTGAGGAGAAAGGCGAAAGAGGAGGAGGATCAGAGGGCATGGAAGTGGCGCCTATCGCAAGACAGAGTTAGGCGTCTGGAAACGGCAGAAAGGGCAAAAAAAGATCTAAAGGCAGCAAAGACTAGGATGGGGAAGATCAGGGAAGAGATTGAGATAGCCACCAAACTCGATACCCTAACCCAAAGTGTGGAGTCTTTACTAATTGCACATCGCGAGCAAACGCAGTACATGTGCAACTTAGAAGTAAAGATAGAAATTTTACTCGTGACATGATGAAGTACCTAGTGGACCAGGTCCACCTGGCAATTAGAAAGACAAAAGAGCTCTGCACTGGCGCCATTGAAGGCGCCAAGTTAGCGACTCCTAAGGAAGAGGAGTCGGCCCCACCACTCCGTGAGAAAGTCAAGATCCGTCTCCCCGAACCCTTCAGTGGAAAGAAGGGGGAGGATTTCGACAACTAGGAGGCCAACGTGCACTCCTATCTCTACTTACAGGGAGTCACGCCTGAGGACCACGTTTTGGTGCCCTTCCAGGCTCTTCGAGATGAGGCGACCAACTTTGCTAGGTCACTCGCGCGCTGCAAATTGTGAGAACGATATGGTCACCTATACTAGACTAACGCCCCTATCTGAATTTCTGAAATCGCTTTGAGAGAGATTTTCTTATGTGACGCGGGGACTCAAAGCCTCCGACAAACTCCAAATGATACACACTCGCCAGTGGAGGAGTGTGCATGCGCTTAAGTCCGCTTTGGAGGAATTGATTGCGGTCCCTGGGCATGGAGTAACGAATGCCCAACTTCTTAACCTCTTCTACCGAGCCCTGCCTGAAAATATTCAAGGACACTTCTTCGAGAAGAAGAATCAGCAACGCATGACGTATGACACTCTCAATCGGGAGGTAATTGCATTTGCCGCCCAAGCGTCGCCAGTTACCACGTTCTGGCACAAGGACCTGTCAAAGGGAAAAACGTGGAAGGGATGCACCATCTCCGACCAAATTAAGGCCAAAGATAATTTGATTCTGACGATGCAGGAAGGTGGTGCAGATGAGGTCCCCTACTTCAACATCGAGTGGGGACCGGAAGAGAAGGACAACAGCGCTGGTCAGGGGAGAACCTACGCTGCTGTCGCGGCCGGAGGGAGGACGCAAGGAGGAGGGCAAAGGTCCAGTTGGAATGGCCGGGCCCCGGGTGGCCGAGGACAGGGCGGCCAGGGGGTTCGTGGCAATGGCAACCGCCAAGCGGAAGGAAGGGGAGCCCCCCCGTCTAACCGTCAGCGTTTTAGTCGGTCACCCCACAAACAAGGAAGGTGGCACCCAGGTCGGCCCGAGGGCCAACCCTGGTTAGATCTGGGCATAGATCAAGAACACATTCATAGTTCTCAGTGCGTATTCTACGGGGACCCAGGCCACATCATAAAATTATGTCCCAAGTATAGGGACCATGCTGCATCTGGGGCAGCAAAAGACAGCCGTCGGTAGGGGTCGCAACTGCCCCTACCCCAAGAGTACGTGGATATGAGCGTGCACGCTAAGTAGAGTCTCCCACTCCACATATCTCCATGGCGGAGGTTGCAGGCCGGCGTTTAGCAGGTTGTCCAGAGACTGCTTGTGTTAGGGTCTCTCTCGACGCTTTCCTCACAGGCTTAGTTGAAGAGTTGCTAGAGAGGAGGCAAGCCCGGGCCAAGATGAAGAAGAATAGTAAAGGACAGCTGATCCTTGCAGACTAGAGATATTTAGAACTAGAGTAGGAGCCTGATCGACAGTGGGGCAACTAGGAGTTACATCAATCCTAAAGCGCTGAAGAAGTTGAAGCTAAATCTAAAAGCCCAACGCTTAGAAGAACCTGTCGTCAGCATCCTCGTTGTTATGGACTCCGCCAGGGCTCAATCCCTGGTCTATCTTTCTGTTGTTTCTACTGCATCCCGTTTTCGGCCTGGCACCCTTTTTTCCAAACCCCTCCTTTGGTACCATCGAATTTTGGACAACTGGCGCCATGCTGCAATTCGGGCGCCACGTTCAAATACCGCATTTTTCAGTTCTGCCCTCAGGGTTTTTACGGAAATGCCCCTGGTACCGTACGTGTCACCGGTACTTATACCGGCTCCCCGTGCAGTATGGGGACCAGTCTCGTACCAGTTTTCTGTTGCTGTACTCGTACTCAGTGTGACTTGCTGTTTCGGCATTCGGAATCCAAGACTTCGACTTTGTGCCCTTGCCATATTGTCTGCGTCCGCCCCTCAGTCATGTCGAGTGAGTGAGTGTGTGTGTGTGCTCTCACTCTCTCCCTCTCTCTCTCCTCTCTCTCTCCTCTGCCTCGGCTCTCCCTCAGCCCTGTGCTCGTCACACTGGTATCGGAGCGATTCGAACCCACCCAACCCACCCTGCTTTGTCGTCACCACCTGGCCATCATCAGCATCATCGTGATCGTCGTCGCCGTGCCACGTCATCATCGTCATCGTCGCGATTGTCGTCGTCGTGCCACGTCATCATCGTCACCGTCGCGATCGTCGTCGTCGTGCCACGTCGCCATCATCATGCCCGTCGTCCTCGTCGCCGTGCCGTGCCATCCTCGTCATCGTCGTTGCTACCTCCGCACAGATAAGTAATCGACGACAATTTCATTTTTTTATTATTTTTTTTAATTTTTTCTTATCTTCTTCTTCTTCTTCGCGACTCCGCTCCCGCTCCCGCGCAACCTCCCCTCCCCAACTCTCGATCTTCCCCCCCCCACGCGTCGTTCTTCCCCCGCTGCGCGATCTTCTCCCTCTGATTGTTCTCCTTCCTCCCCCGATTCTCTTC